AACATTAAGACAAAGTCAGGTAAATTATATAACCGTTTTCTGCTGCACAGCCAAAAGGCCACCACCAGTGTTAAATTTCTATCCGATCACCAAATTGATCCTGGGGGTGGGGACAAGCTCTCCATCGATCCTGGAGGAGTATGGGGGGGGGCATCTTACTCTGACCTCCTTAAGAGCATTTACTGGCTTCCTGTATCTTTTTGCTATTCAAGGAGATCTGACTGGCCAACAGACAGGCATCTTAAATAGGTGCTCCTGTTAGTAACCACTAAAGAATTTCCATTAGCCAATCGCAGTAGCCGAGTGCATTAGCCAATCGCATTAGCATACAGACGTGCAGGAACAGCCCAAGATAGCAGGCTGATTAATATGACCATGGACAGGATTCCACAGGAAGTTGATGTACCCTGTAGCACATTAAACTGAACTGCAATGGGGCTTTGTGCACACTGTAAACAATGAATGACATGTGGAATATAAAGACTTCATTGTCGCTGTACAAACAGCACGTACAGCGAAATTCAATCTGTGTATATCTCCATCTTAGTCTCCTATGAGATACGCATAAATATACAGAAGAGACTGAAAGGGGGGGTCGGCCATTTGTCCAGCACCCCGGTGCATTTTTTTGACTTACGGGAGTTTTACTTATACAAAAAGGTTTTGAGGGCAGAATGAAAAATGATTGGTTCAGACAAATAACCAATTAGATTGTAGAGAAGGTGGGTCCAAGTGACTAGGAGATGTGTGACCAAGACATCTGATTGGTTGGTCCCACCTCCTCTACAATCTGATTGGTTGTCTCTCTGAACCAAACATTTTTCATTCTGCCCTCAGAACATTTTTATGTAAGTAAAACTCCGATGAGCAGTTTTTTGAGGTTCCTTCCACACACAAACACAAACACCACAAACATGCCGTAATTGTGTTATGAAGAACGTGCTACATACCATCTCTATATGCGCTGTACTGTTTGTACTATATGGTTATATACACTACTCTTGTGTTTATATGGGTTGTGTTGGATGTGTATACAGTATCTCATATAGCATGTTCATATGGGCTATATAAGGCATGAGGATTAAAGCCATTAATGACGTTTTTTTCCCCATCATTAAGCAATCAGTGAGCGGATTAATTGGTATTTAATTACCTATAATTAATTATATTGTAGTGACCTTCCACAAGGGCGTCCAGCCAACGGCTATATTAACCACCCTTCGTTTCCATGCTTTCCATGCTGAGGATTTTTACCGTATTAAACCCAATACGGAGGCAGCGGCAGATTAGTGAGCAGGGTGAATGGGGCTGTCAGGCAGGCGGGCACTTGAGCTGCTCACGCTCCCTGTGGCACCGGGACAGTACCACCACGCCGGGCCCAGGTGCAACGTCATCCGACACCCGCACCATGCTCACCCCCCACTTCCCCGACGGGTATCAGTCCCTCCCCAAGGAGCCAGTGTAGCGGATGGCGGCTGCCTGCGTACCAGCTGCCAGCCATGGCTACCCCCCCCCAGAGGGAAGCCCCCGCCCCCCTCCCCTGTCACCCCTAAATCCAGCCTGCTGTGGCCGTAAGACGTCAAGGTCAGACTGGGCGTCGTAAATTCAGGACAAGCAGATACAGACATCACGTGGGGGTGGGGGGGCATCTTTACTTGCGAAATGATGCACTGCAGTCAGCCCCGTGGTGAATCGATTTATTTAGACCTTTCTGAAGTCAGGTAACATCTGTGTGAATGCTACAAAACGAGGGGGGGGGGGGTTGGGGGCTGTCCCTGCACCTTAATCCTGCCCCTCGGCGCTCGTCGCGTTCCGGGTTGACTGGCTGGGGGTGTGTGGCAGTGTGGAGTGCGTCATCTTCCAGAATACATGCAGTTACGGTGCATCTGCAAATCTCACAGATCTCAGCATATCGAGCGTGACAAACAAACACAGGTCAAATGCAGAGCAGCTCTAAAACCAATCCCATATGCCATTGCTGGGCCCTACGCTGCCTTCTGAGCCCAAATCCTGCCCAAGTGCTGCGATTACGCAAAAAGATGCAGGGAACTTGACCAGAAATCGCGAACCCACATCTGTAGTCCCCAGGAAGATTTTATTTTCCGCCTGGCTTTGTCAAAAACATTAAATCAGCCGTGGGTTTAATTTACAGATATTCCCGCAGCAAACGAGAGCAGTAAATTAATTAGGCGACAGGGGTTTACTGACTTGAGCTCCAAGGCGAGCCTTGATTGGCGGAACATTCCAGATGGATGAGCGGAGCCGCTCACTCCGCCACGGCGGAAACCTAACGTGCAGACAGCCATGGGCGTGCTGAGCGAGACCGTCATCGCTGGCAAACTATTCCAAAATGAATCAAGGAGGAGGGGCGTAGACTAAACGATCACGTAGCGCCAGGGTTCTCCAGCAAGCCGTAACCCCGACACATTACATCACCCGGGAGTGCAAAGGTGTGTGTGAATTACAGCCAGAGGGGGGGCGCCACCCACCCACCTCAAACACCACTGGCCACTCGACAGACCATCAGGTACAAGAAACGCTTGTTAGGCCACGGCAGAGCAAAGACCACTGGCAACGTCAGCAGGACGAGTAACGGGAATTATGAAAACCGCCACTAACATCTGACCAGGCTCCCCTGCTTGGAGTTGTGATTTTCACCCCTCCCGCTCCAACCACTCATTGACAACGTCCATCCATCTTCCAACCTCCTACCCAATACAGAGTACTGGGGGGGAGATGCACTCCATCACAGAACTCACACACGCAGCTGCAGACTACGGGCAATTTAGAGACGTGATGGGCGACTGCATTCCAAAAAAGTGCAACCAGATTCATGAACCCTTGCGGGCAAGCCCCAGTGGTATGTGCCAGTAAGGAGATACGAGCCGACCTTTGTGTGCAAAAAGCCCATGAACAAAAGACAAGACACTATAATCATACAGAAAATATGCTGTTCATTTAGACGCGTTAGACCCAGCTCCATTCATGTCAATTCTGAATAATGTTTTAAGTCATCACTAGCGATTGTCATCGAAGCCATATCTAAAAATAAAAATCACCGCTCTACCAGTTTATCTACAAGCTACAGGCAACATGACAAGGAGTCAGCTCTTGGACTTCATAATGAAAACTATGTAAACAGAGCTTACAGAACTTATGTATCACGTGTCAACGGCATAAGTGAGAGTTTGATATTCTGGGGAGGGGTAAAATATTATTATTAATTTAAACGAAAAGTTCTGTTTCTTGTGCAGAATGAATAAATCCTTTTTTATTATTTAATGTTTTTTGAATGAACGAGTCCTGGTTAAATATTAGGGTGGGCTCGTTCCTCACCTGGTTCTTACATTGCTGACTCGTATATTTTTAACATTCGCACATAGATCTACGGAGAACCAGAATGAAATGATCACAAAGTAGCTTCAGCTCAGTGCCACTCTGGCAGAGCATTCAGTCTGTCAGTGCCCAGCTTGCGGCGAGAAACTTGGCATCTCATGCCCCCCCCCAATTCTCCATAAATTCATCAGTCAAAGGCAGAGAAGCCCTTTTGTTCTGTGGCGGGCCCCACCCAGTACGGGCCAATCGGTTTGCTGGAGCTCAAGGCCATGTTTGCTCTTTCATCCAGATCCGCAGTTCCTCTAAGGACTTTGATACCGCAGAATTCATCATAAACCTGAAAATGTCCCCGCACCATGACATTACGTGTGCACAACCATGCCGGCTGCTCTCCCATGAAAAAGAAGGCCTTTTGTCCTCAGTCACCTTTCAAAAAGCATACTGGTTTTATAACCTGTTTGAAGGAAAATGTTTATGCGCAACGAGTTGTAAATCACCTGTTCCTTTGACCCCTGGCAAAAAATATTAGCCATGAACTTTAAGAACAAATTAATAAACACTGGCAGAGAAATTAATAAAGAACAGAAGTATGAGTCGTATAAAATTACAACCGCTGCACATTATTTCAGCAGGGATCGACGTCGTTGACGTTTCCCGGACGCGAAAGCGCAGAAAACTTGGCGTGGAAGACCGTGTCTGTCAACGATGACGCTGCCAATCAACATGCGGGCCGGTCTCAAACAGGTCCGCCTTCCAGGCAAACACTCAATTACACGGCTGACGTCATTAACTCAAACCATCCTTTTAAAAGTCTGATTTCAGTCTCGCAACTTTCACGACTGGCCACACGATAGACTGTACAAGTCTTAAAAATATTTCGTTATATTTTTAACAGATACACTTAGCACAACAAGCCCTAGAAAATAAATATGCCACTAACTGATTTTAGCCACCTCTATAAATCTCAGACATGCTAATCGTGGAATACATAATTTAGGTTATCTAATGTCGATGTTATTCATATTACTAATAGAAAATAAATTAATTATGCCGACGTCATTCAGTGGCTATATTTATTGCATTAGTATCATATTGTTATTATTAAGACACATTCATCGGAAAAATATGCGTTTAGATGTGTTTTTCGCTAACTGTACAATTTATTAATCCGGGAGACAAAAGTTTAAGGTTATAGTCGGGAAATCATGTTTTCGACCGGGAGCCTCGCCCAGCACGTGTTGCGTGTCTCCGGTCGGCGGGCGATAAGCGTCCGGTAAGGCACGCCCGAAACACACCACCGATCACTTGTTTTCCAACTTCTCCGATGTCCCTCCCCCCTCCCGCCGCAGGCATGGCGTGACGACCGGCCGGGCAGCGGCGCATCCCTGTCAGTAGCCTGACCCCAACCATCGCCGCATCAGACCGTTCACGAAGGGCGTCCTTCAAAGGCGCAGAAACGTTTATAAACGTGCGCCCAGCAAACACCCTATGCGGGGCAAACCGGGGAAATCAGGTCCGCTGATTACCAACCCAGCGCTCCTCCGGAACCCGAAGCATCTCCCCAGACACCCCCCCCCCCAGAGCATGCAGGTCTGTTAGGTGATGAGATAAACCCGGATCGGCCGCTGTTTCAGCCGGCTTGCTTCGGCTCGGCGCATCCTTACCTTTGTGATGGTCATGCACAACGTGAGCAGGTGACACGGTTTCCTGCGAGGCGCAAAATGCCGCAGGGGAAATGCTGCCTTATTCTGCTACGGGGAGCGCAAAAAAACGCCCGGGAGTCTTATTTCCCAGCCTCTGGTCGGTATCCGGAAAGCGCTTTATATGTTAGCAGTATGATGTTCATGCATAAGTCATGATGGTCAAGACGAGAGAGGCGTTTCACCGTTGAGGTAAGAGAGGAGGGGGGTGGATGAAGCGTGCGTCCGCCAGGAGCAGTGCGCACCGCCGCGGCAGTGAACGCGAAGCCGATGGGTGGAGAGATGGAGAGAAAGAGGTGGAGCCCTTCAGCCGTGACCGAGAGGCGGGAGCGGTGTCGCAATCGTCCCGCTGCTTCCCGGCGTGGAAGGGCGCAATGTCCCGGCCATGGTTTTTTCTTGCTCCAGAAAATGACAATTTATTAGAAATGGGAACCAGGTCCTCTTACTGGGGCTTTTAAGTTTTTGACGTTCATTTGGCTGATTTGAACTGTGCGTTTTACATAACGACGCGAAACACGTTGTGCTGACGAGTCATGGGGAGTTTTAGATCAAAATCACAACAACCAGAGTAGTTAAAGAATCAATTAGATTGTGTTTTAATAACCAGTGGGAGATGATGGATTAAACTACTAAATAATAAATACTAAATATTAAATACTCTTTTAGTATTGCGTCGTCTGCATTTAAACCGAATTAAAAAGTACATTGCATGTAAAATGCATGCACTGTAATGCAAATAGTTAAAATGTTACACTTTATATAGTAAACCTTCCGAAACGAGTCCTTGGAGACGGAAAAATTGCATGCAGACATGTTTTTAATTATGAAATGTGTTGTAGTTTTGAAGCAAACCCCGACATACGCTGAAACCACAAAAAATACGAGGAAAAGTATAACTATTTTGATTTTATTTATTCTGTTGCTAGCGTTAAATATATTTTATAGTTTATGTTTAATATTTAACGCTCGTATTTTGCAACCACCGCAATAGGCACAGTATGAAAAAAAATTCACTGTCCATTAATTATTAACAAAACAATGTTTAGCAACACTACAAATCCAGATTGCTCACGTCTGCGGTTGCATTTAATTGCAGATTATTTATGACCTTTTACTGCTGTTTTCATTATTTTCATTATCAACACAACGCAGTACATAGGCTAATCTCAAGTTTGATGTGTGGCGGTTTTAACAACCTAGGACGTGCTACGCTAGTATCTTTTATTGATGATAATGAATGCGATGTCTTTATCCGTAGTTACTGCACCTTAAAAACAGTAAAGTGTCATTACTTAGACCATAGGCCACGCTCAATTTGCCATGAACATATTTAGGCTATTTAATTATGGAGGGTCACGCTGAGTTGTAGGGTGAATGTGTGTTTTGCAATCGTAATCTTTTACATACTGATTAACGATAATTACCGAAGCCTTGTGTGATTGCTGTGAAATACATACACATAAAATTTTTCGTGATGGAACTGGAAGATGAATATATTAAGAATTCAGACTGTAAAATTGATTTATCCGTAGCGAAAGGACGCATAAAACGTTATAAGATGCGGGCGCCCTCTTTCGGACAGAAAAGCGTCCGCCGACTGCCAAACATTCCGCGGCCTTTAAGTCTTCCATGCCTCCTTAATTCATCTTGCGTGAAGCAACAGTAAAAACTCATTTTCTACCGGACGTACATTCTACTCCACGCTTGAACTTCGTAACATTTTACGGCACATGCAACACGTCCATTCTGTTAACGGAAAGTAAAACATTTTTTAAAAGTTGTTGTTCGATTAGGAGTAGCAGTTTGTAACTTTTTGTTTGTGCAGAATGTGAGAATGAGAAGCCAAATAGGAAGGTGGAAATGTATTTCAAAACAGTATTTTGTAAGAGTAAAACTTTGACATTAACCCCCCCAGGTTTTGATGTTGTCTTCCATCACTATCCACCGTGGGGTTACTTGGCACCACAGTGCTGGGGTGAAGCCTTTGCCGATCAGGGGTGGCGCGTCCAGAGCACGGTGCCTGCAATGCCCTAGTCACTTAGCGACTGGCAGCGTGCCCAGAGGCAAGTGGGGGCCGCTGGGGGTGTCTGGCAGAGAATGGCCTCAGTCACCGACCCCCACTGACGAGGAAAAACAAAAAAAGCCACAGTCTTTGTCCAGGAAACTAGGTTTCAATAAAGATGACTTGTTCCACATTGTCTTGAACTTCGGCATCTACACTATCTATAACATCAGTACAAATGCATGCTACATATAGACATCTTAAATGGTTATGTTATGCATGTTTACGCATTTCTATATATAGTTATATGTATATATAAATATGGTGTGTATATATGTATGTATAACAAGCATTTAAAATCAGCATAAGGACAAAAAGACAGTGTAGATTAGCTGTAAACTAAAACATCGAACATATTTAAATTACAAGATTCTATAGCTTTTAGAACAGAAATTCCTGCAGCTTAGACCTGCAGATACATAAATTGTGCCTTTTTGTCTCTGAGTCACAGACCATTGATTTACAGCCCGCCACCCTACTGTGAAATACTTGCCTCTACACTGGCCTGTCATTTTCCCCTCTATCAAGGGCTGGTTGGGACTTCCCTGCCTCTGACCAGTGTCTCGATGGGGCCGAACTTAGATGACAGATGATCGTTCATCCGTTTCCTTCACGTCCCGGAACGTCTTTGCCGCGAGATACCATCTCTCCAACATCTGGATTATTTGATAAAAGTTCTCATAACGCAGGTGGTGTTTTATCGGGTTGCTTTGGAAAGGAATCGCCGTCTCCTTTTCCCGGCCTTGAAGTAGAGGGGTTTGGCAAAAACAGCATATTTGTATCAGCCCTCTGCTCCTTAACACCTGCACAACTGTGCGATAAGCCAACATTAGAGCCAAACAAGGAAGTTTCCAGTACAATGTGGCCTTCCTCAGGCAAATGAAGAACTTTGAACCTCTGAATCCAGCATTTGATTTTGTGTCATTCCTATGAATGCCTCTAGGTGGCATCAGTCAATGGTGATTATCATTAGCTGCTAAACATACTTTGAACTGAGCACATAAACTGGCAGGTTTTAGTTATAGGATTTATTTTTCCGCTAGTTATTCTCTTTTCTGGCCAATCATCTGCAGAGGTTACACCTTTGCATCTTTAGCCGTCTGAGAACTGCAGAAGATGGTAGGATCATTCAATCTACTGCTAAGACAGGATTGGAGTTCACCTGGTCATTCAGGGATAAAAATGTTCTGCCGACAGCCACGTAATGGTCAGCTAGGTAACGTGTCCCATGGTAACCGAGGAAGACTGTTAACACACACACACACACGCACACACACACACACAGGCCCTTTAGATGCAGTAACCTGAGTGTATAACGACCTTCCACCTGTCCCATAACACCCAAGTCGTGACATGCTAGCAAAACATATAATTAATCCGATTCTGATCTTAGTTTGTAAAATGAAATTTAACGAGCTATGGTGGCCTCTTATAAACTAGCACATAAATCGTATAAAATTGGAATTTACTTGCAGAAGGGAGAAACCCCCCAGTTGGAGATTAATGGATTATAAATCTATCGAGGCAAAAATCTAAGTCACAACAAAATAAAGGCTTTAGGTCACATGAACACAGCTCAGGGTGGCACTAAAATTCAGCATTAGCTTTAATAATTCAGATTTTATGGCCAATAGAACAATACTGGGTATATTATCCAATTACCGTTTTGGAAATTCCTCCAGCCACCTACACTTACGGTAATAAACAGCCACATCCCCCATGGGATCTTTAGACTACAAATGTATTCAAACTAAGTGAAATGTTTGAACAATTCCTTTCCTGGCAAAAATTTTTTGAAACACAATGAGAACCTGCCCATTTTCAGCCTGTTTACGATCGCCTTACTTCCTCGCGATCAGTGTCTGCGCGACAGGTCGTTAAACGTCAGAAACACTTACGCTTCCGACTCCACCAGCCCTCTGCATCGCTGAGAGATGCACAGACGCGTACTCAGGCTTGTAATGGTGGAAAAAAAAGCAGGGAACAAAGCAGGAAAACGCTGCACTAAGAAGCCTGTTAGCATTTCGACGATAGCATCTCAACGTTAGCATTCCAGGTGAAGAATCCTTATGGTCCCTGGGCAAGATCTCATGACGACTATTTTCCACCTATGGCAAATCCTTCTGTCGACGCTGAAAATGACTTTGAATATTCATTCTTTTATCTATACATGTATTTACTCTTTATTTCCAGTCGGCGTACATGCCTATTAATTAATTACACAGAATTACATATTCTTCATACCTGACTTGGGGGGGGAAAAAGTTAGCAAAAATATTTCTCATGTCCGCTGAAAGCGATCACTCCCGCGGCGTATCGGCTGGCGGGGGACACCTGAATTTCACGAGGGCGGGGGAGGCGGAAGGCACTCCTCAGGACGGGCCAGGCTGTCTCGCTCCTCTTTCACCTAAACGGCTGCCCCCTCACCCCCGTCTTTCCCCCCCTCCAGGGGGCGTGGATCATACATGCCTTCTGAGCTCACCAACAGCTGCCCCGAGTCAAAATAATAATTAGAAAAGAAAAAAAAAAAAATCCCCTACTTAACGAGCAGTTGCATATCAAAACGTCTTCAGCGGTTCTACACCGCACACTGATGCAAGCTGGACTCTCTGCTCTGCCGGGCCTCAAAGCCGCCATTTTCCGTTTGCCACGCGGCACGAAGACCGTGCCCTGCCGACAAGCTCCTCTTAAAAATCTAAAAATTAAAACTATTACGCGTTGAGAAATAAAAATGTTGTGACGATGTTTTACGGAAACTGATGCAACTTAAGACCTAACCCTTCTGGCATTCTAGAATAGTGTTGCAAATGGAGAAACGTTCCTGCTCTTCTCTGAAAACAAACAGTTCCTTTTCTATGGATTTGGCTCATCTTCCTCTCCATCCTCGTCCTCGTCCTCGTCGTCGTCGTCAAACTGGTCCCTGGAATCCAAGTCGTCTTCATCTTCAACCTGTGGGGGGACAGTTAAAAGGTTCATTCAGACATGCACTTGTGTTCTAAATTAGGAGATTATAATTCATTAGTTGATTTTTAGCGAAAATGCTAATGCGATTATTATTGAACTGAAATAGCTCCTGGAGACAGGGGCGGACTGGTAGGCGGCCCAGCCCCCCCAGCCCCCCCCGTGACATTGAGAGCCCCCTCCGACTGCAAATCTCATTTGTGAAGATCAAGACACTTACGTCAGGCATATTATATGAACTTGT